CCTTTGTACGTGTTTGACAATGAATTTGCTGATAGGAATCCCGAAATGGCTAATGCCTATGAGGTATTAAATCACTGTAGAAAGAAAGAAAAAAAAATTTTTTTTTTAGTTTAAATTTGATATAATCTTAACTGATTTGTTTTCCTTGCGGATAGGTGCCTAAATATTTCCAGGGTGATCTTTTTGAAACTTTGTCCGAAAAACGACCACCGCACAGATGGATGATTATCGGACCTGCAAGGTCAGGTGAGTCTTTGAGTTGGTAACATTGGGAGAAAAGGTTGAGAGAAGAACCAGTGAAAGCGGAGCGATTTATCATAATTATCATCGATGTAAATGACAAATTGTAATTTGTAAGCGTTTTTTTTTTCCTATATGTAACCTGATATTACATTTTTATTCTTGTAGGGGCGTCGTGGCATGTTGATCCTTTTGGTACTTCAGGTATGAATCATTCTCAACAGTTGTTCCAAATTCTATTAAATGAATCGTTTAATATATCCTGAATATCTTTTAGCGTGGAACACACTTCTTACTGGAAGAAAACGTTGGGCTTTGTGAGTTATTATAACATTAAATTATTGATATCATTATTATTACCATTGTTAACCCTTAATTTCTGTAGATATCCACCGCACGTTTTTCCACCGGGTACATATTTGCAATTTTCTTTCCAGATAACGATGGTTTAAACGATATTTATGTATCTTTTTTTTGTAGGAATGACAATTTCGCGCACCGGAATGAATGGTCATCAGTCACTTTTTAACGAAGGTGTACTGGATGATACCAAGGATTCCACTACGTCGCTACTCTGGTATCTTGAAGTTTACCCACAATTAGAACCGGGTGCTCTTCCATTGGAAATTGTACAGGAAGCTGGGTAAGTGGATTTGATTTATAGGAAAAAACATGTTTGATTGATGCATTAATACCGTCTTTTTTTTTCACAGGCAGACAATCTTTTTGCCAAGGTAAATTTGTGACAACGCATTTGGTGAAACTTATTTCCGCTAAACGTCTATCTAATTTTTCTTAATTTCTTGTAGCGGGTGGTGGCACATGGTATAAATTTAAAAAACTTTCATTTATATGTGAAATCGAGCCCTTAGTAATTTACATTCATGCAAACAGGTCCTCAATATCGAAGACACCATTGCAATTACTCAAAATTTTGCCAATATTCACAACCTCGAACATGTCTGTGAAACATTGATGAGCGAGAGGCATAAGCAACAGGCAAGTTTACTCGTGTTTTTTTTTTTTCAATATACGCCAAAATAACAAGGTAATAAGGTCTTTACGGTAAATAGTTGTGGGAGCTATTTAGTGAGAGCGTGACAACAGCCTACCCATACTTGGATCCATTTATTTCACACAAAGTTTCGCAACTGTTGGACACAACAGACGATCCGATTATACTTGAAGAAGGATTTTCATCCAAGATAGATTTTGTTGAATCATTTCGTGATCTAAACTTTTGGAAACCCCGAGTCGCACGAGCCCTTGAAAGGTGTGGTATAGATCAAAATGTAGAAATCGATGTCATCACACGTGGGCAGAATCCGGTATTATGTTATCTTCTTTTTTCCTTCTTTGACATCTCTTTCATATCATTGATGTTATCCACCTGATTTTATAATAGGTCTTTCAAATTTCCACTTTCATTATCAAGTTTTATTCACATCTACATAATGGCATCGAAACTTTTACAACAGAGATCAATGCATATTCGCATATTCGGGAACATATTTCTAATGAGTTTACTGAGTGCTTCCCAAAACTTTTAGGAACTGGCTACTTGTTCGATGAATCAAACGAACGAAAATATCGTTGGCCATTCTCGATCATCGAAGCTGTCGCCAAGGGTGGGTCAAGTCTTTCGGAAATAACTAGTGGCGTTGAGTCGTATACTACTTTTGATGATAAATTGGATTCAGATGATGAAAGTGGGATTATCAGTTGGAATGAAGTGATTGATTTTACCGTTAAGATATTATATGGCATGTTTTTTTTGAACTAAAGCTCAAGTTCTTATTGGTTTTGTGTGAAGGCATTAAATATAACCTTTATGGAATTTTATAGCATTGCATAGTCTTCCATCTGTACCCAGTGTAGTGCATTTAAATTCGCATTCATTCCTTAAATTCTTATCTCAACGGCTCGAAAAGGCACCAAGCACACACGCTGAGTGGCTAATTTTTCCACCACGCTTAAATTCTCAGATATCATCTTATCTGCCAAACTCGCTTCTTGAACTTTATAACCCGGATCTTGATGGAACCGCCGGATTTTTGCACGGAGACTTTAATGCCGAAAACATTCTCGGATTGATTATGCCCGACGATCCTAATGACCTCGATTTGGATGAATTCAAGTCTGGGCATTGGAAAGCGACGTCAATAATCGATTTCGGTGATGCACACCTATATGGAGGCGACCCGTTATTCGAATTGGTGCTAGTTTTTATATCAGTCTTTGGTTGCTCAAAAACGCTGTTACGACGATTCTTGGAAAAGTACAATCACGAAGGAGACTTGAAGATATCAACGAGAATGTTTGCGAGAAGGGCAATGTGGTATACATTATTATTGGGGTTTGAGGGTGCCACAAAGCACATGTTGAAAAGTCTACCGGGAATTAGGGAACTTGGGAGTTGGTTTGAAGTGGAGAGTTATGCTTGGAATTTTGACAGTGTGACCTTGGGAAATAATCTTACCCTATAGGGTCATTTGGATACCAATATAACTCGTTACTCTTAATAAATAACTTAATGATAATACTTAGTAATTAAATAAAGTCCGGTCTTATCCGATATTTTTTTTTCACTTATATTTGTTTTATGAATAGTAAATAAACCGAAAAATTCACACGACACCAATTATGTATTAAACTGTCATTTTAGATTTAAATAGTTTATTTGTTGTAAATTTACGATTACCAAAAAAAAAACTATCGTTAGGCTTAAATAAATTACAACTTGGATTTTGTTCTTGAAACCGTCGCGATAATCAACCCTGAAAAAATCGAAATAATAACAGTTAGTTAATCATTTATTCGCGAAAACTCGATTGCATGATTATTCGACGTACCGTTAGGTTTATCAAAAGGCGTGTATATATTAGCATCTTTGAGTTTATTTTTCAAGTCAAACCTTTCAAGGTCATACTCAAAGTAATGAATGTTTGGTAATTCGTAATGAACGGTTTCGATTTGTGAATGTTTCTCCAACGCAAGTTTTGCCATAAGGTATAAGGTGGCTTGCACCGAAGCGCTGTTGTCTGTAGCGAAAGTTTTTAAGGTGATCGAACGAATTGAATCAAAAATATCGTCGAAGGGAATGTTTTTAACTGATGCTACACTGGGAATGTTGTAGGTCCAGGTAGCGTCGACATTCGTCGATAAAATACGATCATTCGTTTCGGGAAGTGTCGTAACTAGGAATTAGTGCCTATTAGTTCCAATTCTAACAAAATTTAAAGATAACTACTTTCTAATTTACATTTATCACGCAAAAATCCGTAAAATGCTGAACCGGTCGTCTTCAACACTAATAAATTTTTCAATCCTGATTCGATCTGAACTGACACGTCCTTGGAGTTGGTCTTAGCAACGACAACTTTGGTGCTGCGTGTATCCTCTCCATCCCTGTAAAAAGAATGATCATGCAATTTTCCATCGATTAACATTCTGGTCCACTTATGTTTGGTGATCGAGACATTGGCTTTAGATACGTGGGAATAGGTTGATACAAAGTGGTGACCAATTTCCGTGGCGAATATTTCAATATTCTGAACATGAGGAGATTGTTTGGCAAGGATGTAAATTGTATTTTTCATCGAATCCGTGGCAACAACCTTGGAATTGTCAGCTTCGGTATATGAAGTAACGAAGTCACCTTCCAAAAGGACACAAACCTGTCAAAATGTAGAAATGTTGGTAAACGAATGTTTGCAGAAAACGAGATAACACGAATGGATTAAGCTCTTACCGTGAGTTCGACTACTTCATGCCATTTTCCTGTCCTAACGACTTTGAACAAACGAACATTGTTTTTTCCATAACGCTGCTCTTTAAGAGATACGTTGGACATTTTGTAATTTTGTGCAGAAAAGCAATGCCATGAATTTAAATCATTCGATAACAGAAGTGATGGCGATAGGTCGGTTCGGTAAATTGATATCAGGTTGTTTGATCCTATGACAGTAAAACCATATGATTAGGAATTTTAAGTAGTTGGCCCGAGACTAGTCCAACCATTTTGGGCTTGGATCGTTTCGGTTCGACCATATAAAACATTTACATATTATATCCTTCATTAGGGTTAAGGTCGGTCATTAGTTTATGTAATAGAAACTATTCAACCAGAATTTAAACCGAAATGATGTATTTGATCATACTTTATATATAATACATATCATGAGAATTATATAGATAGAGAACTAGTAGCAAGTAAATATTAAATTGATTTTAGTCCAAGAGGTTTCAGGGATATGCAAGAATTAGTAATTATTTAAACCATATACAAGTTTACAAAAAACAAATAAGAAAAAAAATTAAAATTAAAATTAATACATATTAATAATTAATAAATAATTATACATATTTATTTATAGCATATATAATATAAATTAAATAATATAGGAAGCCTAAGCAGTTCACAAGATTTAAAGAATTTATGAGATTATATAATATTTTTTTGGGGAGGAAAGGTTTCCTCCATAAGTAAACATCATTTCTTTATTTAATATTGTATATAACAAGGTATATATTTGTGAAAGAAATAACATCTCTTTCATTATTTCAGGAAAGTTAAATACTAGCTTATTTACTTAATATTATTTAACTAATATTGTAAAAAATTTCAAAAGCAATCTTAAAATACTAGATAAAACTGAATAGCAGGTTATTACCAACTTAAAAAATTTTGTGAAATCTTTTGATTTTTTGAATATATAAAAATTGAAAAGAAAAAAATAAAAGTAACTGTAACTAAAATTATAACAAATAAACTATAAAATCTATAAGTAAAAAATTAATTATTTTTTTAAAAAAGCTTTTAAACAGGCTTGTAATTCCATTTTTCTGGCTTTTTGATTATCATAAATAATAAAATATACATAAAGTTGTTTGTTGTTATAGTTGTTATCAGTAAACATATAATCAATATTGTTGTTATGATTGTTATTGTTATTATAATTGTTATTGTAATACAAAACCAGTTTAAGTAATTAAACTCTCTCCTGATCGCGTCTGTTTTGTTAAAAATTTTTCTTTTATAGTAATTTTAAGCAAGAAAAAATGTTTTATACTCTTTATCGCAAGTAA